TCCCAATCCCTCTTAATGCTAGTGCCTTCCCTCCAATCATTTCCTATTTATCCTGCAAAAAACTTGCTTTTATCTATTTGTTGGTCTGTCATCTCCCCCATTTTTAGACTGTAGGCTCCTTGAGGGCTTTTGCCTCCTCCTGTCTTTTGCCTCTTTTTGTATCCACAGTGCTCAGCACAGTGCCTGGCACCTAGTAGGTGCTTAATAAATAAAAGTTTATTAATCGGTGGATTTCTATGAGTCGTGGGTAAGGAGGGAATGCATCAAGGGCATAGAAAAAGCCCGTCGGAAGACGCAGACTTGGGAGAGGACTGTCATGTGAGGAATCAGGTAGCTAGAGCCGGATTGTAAAGGAGGAGTTTGCAGTTTACCCTACAGGTAAGAAGGAGCCAGCAGAGTTCTTGAGCAGGGGAATCTGGCTGGAGCTTGCAATGGGAGATGAAGCTGTTTGCCCAAGGTTACACAGCCAGTATGTAGCTAAGCTGGGAATCTGCCAGCGTCTTCTGAATTCCAAGACCCTAATTCACGGCAACTGTCGACCCTGGTTGTCTCATCCCTACAAAATGTGGGACTGGCCCCTATCCAGGGCTTCAGTCGTAAGGTTTTCAAACTTTGTGGAGTTTAAAGTCAACAGAGGCTGAATGACCACTTCTCAAGTGTGTGGTAGTGGGTGTTTTTTTTTAATAGACTAAATAGCTGCTAAGGAATATTTCAGGTCTGCAGTTCTCAGATTGAGTCAAGACTTCAGTTAGCAAGTGGCAGCCAGCAAAGCTAATGTGAAATGGGCGTGGCTTCCAGAAGGGGGGGGGGGGGTCTCTGCCCTGGTCAGACCTCCTGGAGAACTGCATTGAGTTCTGGACGCCATGACTTAAGAAGGGGCTTCTGAGTTGGAAAGCACCCAAAGGGGCCAGCCAGGGTGGGGAAAGGTCTTGAGCCAGTCACCTGAGCATTTTTTGATGGAGCTGGGGCTGATTGGCCTGGAGGAAGAGATTCAGGGAGTACTCGATCGCCGTCCTCAGGGTGAAGGGGCGTCTGCTGGAGGAAGAATTAGTCTTGTTCCCTGTGGCCTCAGAGGACAGAACCGAGAATAGTGGTTGGCAGACGCAAAGCAGTCAGTTGGGGTTCATGTGAGGGAAAATGCTCTAACGATATGGCTGCCCCAAAGTGGAAGGGGATCTCTCTCCTCGGAGGTCTTTAGCTGTGGCTCGATGAGCCCTTGTTAGGGGGATATTGATAGGAGGGATTCTCTTCATGCGTGGGCTGGACTAAATCAACCAATAAACATCTATTAAGCACCTTCTATATGCCAGGCTCTGTACTAGGTGCTAGGGGCCACAAAGACCAAAGCACAGCCTGCCCTTGAGAAGGGGAGCTTAAAAAGCCTAAGAGATAGGATGTACATCATCCCACACATTCACACGTATACACAGTGAGTAGTTTGGGGAGCACGGCCGTAAGTATCTGCGAGAGTCAGGAAAGGCTTCAGGGAGAAGCTGCTTGAGCCGATTCTTGAAGGAAAAAGAGATTTTGAAGAGCTGAGCGAGTGTTCCAGGCGCTGGGGACGGCAACGGTCTGGCAGTAGGAGATGGGGTCTTCATTGTACCGAGCGGCAAGTCAGATGGGCTGAATCACAGCATATGTGCAAGGCAGCAGTGTGCGAGAAGACTGGAAGGGGAGTAAGGGGCCAGGCTGTCAAGAATTTTCCTGACCAAAAAGAACTTATACAAAGCATCCCCAAAATCTTTCAAGCTTCAGTAGCTAACATCTGAACTTAGACTTCGGGACACTTTGTATTTGATCTGAAGGTAATAGAGTCAGTAGAGTTTGACTGACATGGTCAAGGTTTAATGGGTGAAATGGTCAGAAGTCCACCTTAGGAAAGTCATTTTGGCAAGTCTGTGGAGGCTGGACTGGAGTGGGGAAAGGTCCGAGGCAGGGAAAACGAGGCAGAAGTTGTGCAATATCCCAGTGAGAGGGGAATGAGAGCCTGAAGTCGGGTGTTGGTGTTGACTGTGTCAATGGAGAGAAGGTGACGGTCACGCCTGAGGTGTTTGGGGGAGACGAGCAATGAGATTTAGGCATCGGATTGCCCATGCCAAGTAAGCGAGAGAGTGAGAAGCCAAGGACGATGCCAAGGTTTCAAAGCTCAGTGACTGGAAGGATACAGAAGTTCTTGATAGAAGTAGTGTGGGGGAAAATAATGAGTTCTGTTTGGAACAGAATAGTTGAGATGCCTCCAGAACATTCTGTTCAAAATATCCATAGGCAGTTGGGACACAGGTGTGCAGCTCACAAAAGACAAGGGCCAGATTTCTAGCTCTGGCAATCATCTGGATGGAAATTATTATTGATAGAGGCATCTAGGTGGCGCAGTGGATAGAGCACCGGCCCCGAAGTCAGGAGGACCTGAGTTCAAATCTGGCCTCAAACCAAACACTTGACACTAGCTGTGTGACCCTGGGCAAGTCATTTAACCCCAATTGCCTTAAAAAAAAAAAGCGGAAATTATTACTGAACTCATGGGAACCAATGAGGTCACCAAGGGAGAGTGTATGGAGAGAGAACCTTGGGGTAGCCCAGGGTTAGTTGGGGTGACGTGGATGAGGAATGAGCAAAGGAACTCAGAAGAAGCCTGTGATTCTGCCTCTAGAGAGGTCAGAGAGTGGAAGGGGAGTCCTCTAGGTGTGTGGACCATCTTGAGTGTAGGCATGGAGGAAGCTATGGCAGCCCAGCCCTTCTGATAGCGACTCTGTGCCTTTACCTAGCCAGAGCTCCCCCTAAAATGCAGCCACCAGGTAATTCCTGCCTTCTCTACTGAATTCCCATCAGAATAGGGAGCCCAACATGACTCCTTTCACTGTACCTAGGAGAATGCATTCACCGTTATTGCTGCGTGCCCTGGAATTTTTTTCAATACAACAAAATTTTTTAAGTGTCTGCTATGCACAAAGCAAGAGACAGCTTAGTGTAGTGGACAAAGAGCTGGCCCTGGAGTCAGGAAGCCCTGGGTTCAAATCCTGCCTCTGACATATGCAAGTCATTAACTCACTCAGTGCCCCCAGGTAAGTCTCTAAGACTCACTCTTGTAAAGTGGCCTATTATTTTTTATTTTCTATTTATTTTTGATACATTTTTGTTAATATCTTTAGTTTTTGTACCACCTACATAGCCCCATGTATCCCACCTCCAATCCTATCCTAGAGAATAATCCTTTATAGTAAAGAAATCAAGCCAGCCAGCATTTATTAAGCACCTGCTATGTGCCAGGCACTGTTCTAAGGCAGGGAAAACAAAGGCAACAAAGCAGTCCCTGCCCGCAAGGAGCTGATAATCTAATGGGTGAGACAACATACTAACAATTACGCACAAATGAGATACAGACAGGAAAAACTGGGGACAACCTCAAAGGGGAAAAAAAGGTTAAGAACTTTTCAGTAAAACTAACCAACATTATATGTAATGTTCCGCCCTCATAGTTCCTCACCTTTGAAAAGGATGGGGGTGAAGTACCTTCTTCTAGTTTTCTTTGGGCCAAGCTTAGTCATTGTAATGCCACAGCATTCGGGGTCTATATTTCATGATTAATCTTTCCCTTTACATGGTGGGCATCATGTGTCTCTTGTTGTTCTGGATCTGCTTATCTCACTTCGCATCAGTTCACGAAAGTCTTCCGATGCTTCTCTGGATTTCTCATCTTGGCCCTTGTTAACGATGCACAGCCCATGTCTTAATAGCCATTTTTGTAGAGGAGTAGCTGAACCATATTGGTGCAAGAAGGGTCCTGGAGGGGAGTTAGCCACAAGAAGTGAACTCATAGGCCCAGACCAATGCACAGAGCACTGTCCCAAGCACCAAGGAACTAGAGATGAAAGCATTTATTATATTCCTGCAGAATACCAGGCACAACGGATGAGATCTAATCCCTGTCCTCAGAGAGTTTACTGTCTAAGAGCAGGAGATAAGACAAGGACACAAATCAATGAACTACACGTTAAAATATGGTAACACTGATGTGGACTAGTGTGGGAGAGGAGCATGTCGTCCAGTGGGGTCACAGATCTATGTCATTATCTTAGTAAGTACGAACAGTAGTGGGATCTTAATTCCTATCTGACTGTGAAAGAGAACCTTCATGGAGGAGGTGGGCATGTGTTCTGGACAGGTAAGATTTCAGCAACCAGAGATAGAAAGGAGAGTTTTCCAAGCAGAAGTGAAAGACATGAGCAAAGGCCAAGATAGGAAAGACGTAATGGCACCTGGTCTAGTTTGGGAGAAGACAGCACGAAGCAGTAAATAGTGCTGAATTTGGAGACAGGGAGACCTGGGTTCCAATTCTGCCTCAGATACTTGGATGACCCTGGGTAAGTCACTCTCTGGGCCTTGGTTTGCTCATCTCTAAAAAGAAGGGTTTGGATTTAAGGTCTTTTCCAGCTACTAATCTCTCCTCCTAAGGTCCTGGGTGAAGAGGAGGGTGAGATTGACTGGAAAGGTAGGTTTGCAGAGCATTGAATGCCAGAGTCAGGAGTCTGGGCTTTTTTTTTTTTGGTGAGCAATGAAAAGTCCTTCAGTTAGGACATGCCATGATTAGAGCATTTCATGATGACAATAATAGTAACTGACGTTTCTGCCACAGTTCAGGCTAGAATGTCCTCCTCGAGGGAAGGGGTCGTTTCATCATTGTCTCTGTACATATGTGTAGCACTTAGCACAAGGCCTACATGCCCTTAACCGATGCTTCTTGAATTGTGCTGAAGGGCTCATAAAACCTTTTACACACATTATTTCTATTGTGTTTCAGTACAGAGCTGGGAGGTGAAATTCTTCAGGCATTAATAGGCCCATTTCATGGATGAGGAAACTGGAGCCCAAATGACATGGCCCTGGTCACACTGCTAGCCAGACCCAGGGATGGGGAGGCCAGGAAGAGACGGTGGCCCCATGAAATGGCAGCCTTGCTTTTGGTCCACTCTGACCACGTCTGCTTTTTTCTTCCATGACAGGTGACCGAGGGCCACTGGAAATGGGGCGGCATCACGGTCCAGGTGAACAGCGCCTTTTTCACAGGCATCTATGGCATGTGGAACCTCTACGTCTTTGCATTGATGTTCCTGTATGCACCATCTCACAAAAACTATGGGGATGACTCGTCCAATGGTGAGCATAACTCTGCTCTGTCCTGGGGAGCTCACAGTGGCCAGGACAGGGATGGGGGAGGGTTCTCCTCTCACAAGGGGTGAGTCTTTCGGTCTCTGATGATGGTGGCTCACCGGACGGCTTCTTGTGGAGGCCACCTGCCTACTGAGCCCTTTTTTGGGCACATTCAGAGTATGCTGAGCAGTGTGGTAGGAGAGGTCAAATCCTGCCTAGCCTGGTGACCCTGGGCAAGTCACTAAACACTCAGTGCCTCATTTTCCTCATCTGTAAAGTTAGGGATTGGAACCTGATGAATTCCAAGGGTCATTTCTTTGTTAAATGTATGATCCTATAATTCTTCTGTCTGACTTTGCTCTTTTTATCAATGCTACTATCTTCCCAGCCCCTAGATGGGAAGTCTCAGACTTAGAATTATTCATTCTCATTGAGTCCCATTGATTCTGCCTTTCTATGTCCTGAATCAGTTCCCTCCTTTCTCTTTCTCCTGCTAATACCTCTGGTCAAACACTTCTCACCTGGAGGAGCAAATTCTCTTTCCTGTGTACATGGTCCCAGGCCCCAGGCCACCTCCCCTCCACTGTGGCTCGGCACTCACACACTTACCTGACCATGTCTTACTCTGTAGGTTTTAGGTACAGTCTTTAGGCAACCCTCCCTGAGGGTAACACCATTTTCTCTTCTAATTTCTCTCTGTCCAATGTAGTGCATAACCTAGTGACTTACACAATCACTAAATGGATGTGCTCAGTTCAATGGAATTGAAGCCTATGTATATAGACAAGGTGGTCAGCTTGGTCAAAGCGGGAGGTCCCAGATCGGCGCTTAGTGCCGGCTTTGGCAGCAAGGGCCCGCCACGCCATTTCAGTTGGGTGCTTCCTCCCCACATCAGCCTGTTCTCCAAACCTGGAGACAGGGTGCCCTGTCCTGGCTGAGCCCCAGGGCTCCTTCATGGGGCCCTTCACTGTCCTTGGGCAAATCCCTGCCTCTCTGGGCTTCACTTCCCTCCCTGTGAAATAATGGAGTTGGAAAAGATGGTCTCTAAAGTCCCTCTGAACTCTGAAATTCTCAGCTTCTCTTAAATCCTATTTGCAGGGAAAGGTCTGAGCATGACGTAAATCAGTACAAGTCAGTGGGAGTGGATGCTGAACTTTCCCGACCATCTGGGAGCTCAGATCCCAAAGGCAGCCTGGATCAATGGTCAGAGTGCTGCCTCTGGAGGCAGAGCACCTGCATTCAAGCTCTTCCTGCCTCAGTTTGCTCATCTGTAACATGAGACCTCCAAGGTCCCACCCATCTCCAGATCTAACTGCCCTGGTCTGGACTAACTCTTCTGCCTTGATCACCACACCCAACTCCCTGGGGCCTCCGTTTGCTCATCTGTCCAGTGACAGGATTGGCCCAGACGGCCCAAGAGGTCCCTTCCAGTTCTAGATCTGAAATCCCACGAAAAGGAGGCCTTTGTCTGTCGTTTGTGGTTCAGTCATTTTTCAGTCGTGTCTGACTCTTCGTGACCCCATTTGGGATCTTCTTGGCAAAGACGCTGGAGTGGTTTGCCATTTTTTATTCCAGCTCATTTTACAGATAAGGAAACTGAGGCAGACAGGATGAAGTGACTTGTCCAGGGTCACACAGCTAGGACAAAGTGAGGCATTGGCCTGGAGGGCCTCTCTCTCCTTCCCTAGCCCTTGGAAGAACCACTGCACCCAGCAGGCTGTCCCTCGGAGGCTGGGTGGAGTAAAAGAAATGATAATGACGACAGCTCCCACATGTATCACGCAGCTTTAAGGTTTTCAAAGTGCTTTACACGGGCTGTCTCCCTTGATGCTCACACCAACCCGATGAGGTACCCCATTTTACAGATATGGAAACTGAGGCACAGAGAGGTCCAACAGATAGAGGATTGGACCCATACTCAGGAAAACCTGAGTTCAAATCCCCTCGGCCAACGGCTGCTTGCGTCACCTCGAGCAAGTCACAGCCTCCTTGGCCTCAGTTTCCTCATCTGTCAGATGAAAGGGCCAGACTTGATGGGCTCTGAGGCCCCTTCCAGCTCGCGAGCGATGACCCTGCCACCCCCCTGCAGAGCATCAGCGGCCCCTCAGATCCCAAAGCCCCTCCCCGCCAGGAAGCTTGCCTTCTTCTTTATATTTTTTTCTCCCCAGACTCAGGCAAGCCAGACATGAAATTAGCTTTGCCAGCAGCCCAGAACGTCCCTTTCTAAACACAGCCGCCCGACCTTTGGCGGCTCAGGCGGAAAACAAATGGAAGTGAGATCAGATTTATCCCGAGCTCTTCCATTTAATAATGAGAAGCTGCCATCGTGACGTCCTTGGATGAATGTCTGCACGCCCTGTCTCCCACTCGGTGCCCAGCCCCCGCTGCAGGCCCGGGCCCTCTGCCCCCTCACCCCCCCTCCTCCCCCTCCACCCCTGCAGCTTCCACAGTCTCTCCATTCAGTCTTCTCACTCGCTTCCCGCCTGCTAGCTTTCTTCCTCTCCCACCAGACCATGCAAAGGCGGCCCAGAGATTACCGGCATTTATGCAAAGCCTTGGAAAGAGCTTTGGCTGGGGGTCACGCGAGGAGATTAATAATAAGCTGTCAGTGGGCACGCTGGATCTGTAAATGTTCTGGCCGACCCCCAAGAGCCAGCCCACCTCCCCTTTTTCTCCTGCCTCTCTTCTCCCCTTCTCTTCTCCTCCCCTTCTTTTTCTTCCTCTCCCCCTCTTTCTCCCTTACCCTCCTCTTCCCTCCTTCTTTTCTTCTCTCTCCTTCTTCCCTTCTCCTCCTCCTTTCTCCTTCTCCCCTTCTTTTTCTCCTTCTCCTCCCTCCTCTCCCCTGTTGTCGTCCTCCCTCCACCTCCCTCCGTCCTCCTCCTCCTCTTCCTCCCTTCCCTTCTCTTCCTCCTCTCCATCCTCCTCCTCCTCTCCTCCTCCCCTTCTCTTCCTCTCCTCTTCTTCCACGCTTCCCTTCCTTTTGAAGTTGGCCTGAGTTTGGGGGTTTTGTTTTTTCTTCAGAGCCAAGACGTGAAATCCCTTTCTTCCTGATATCGCCTGATAACTCCCGGGTGCTTCAAGGTTTGTCAGGTGATTGTCATACATTATCTCATTGGATCCTTGCAACCCCTGGAGTCTGGATGCCGTTACTATCCCCCACTTTACAGATGAGGAAACCCAGACTCTTAAGGGTTAAGTGACTTGTCCAGGGTCACACAGTCAGTATGTGACTGTGGCAGAGTTAGCACCCAGCACTCTTCTTGACATGAGGCTCTCTTGATGGGAACGCTTGCTCTGTGTGGGTGGTAGTTAGCCCTAGTGAAGGAGTATTTAACCAAGGGTCTGCAGATCCTCTGGGGTCCATGGATATATTTCAGTAGGTCCGTGAACTTGGGGGATGGGGGAGAAATGGCATTTTTATTTTCACTAAACTTGAACAGAAAATTTGCATTTCCTTCAATTATTTAAAAACATGATTCTGAGAAACATTTAAAAACATGATTCTTCCTCCAGAGGCTTGGCCAGCTCCCCCAAAGGGTCACCGATAGAACCTCTGACCCAGTGGGACCCAGCCTGTGCTGACTGAAGAAGAAGTCAGCCCCTTCTAGGGTTATCTCCCTGAAAGCAGTTTGCCTTTCCCATGTTAAAGAGCAGGTGGGCCTTGACGCAGCCAAGTGGAGCCCTCTGCACGTGGCTTTTGAGGGTGGCTAGGAGGCTACTGGCAATAGAGGTCTGGACTTGGAGCCATCCAGAAGACCTGGGCTTGCCTCCTGCCTCAGACATTTAACTGACTGTGGGATTTCTCAGTCTCTCGGGGCCTCACTTACTTCTGTGAAGTGAGGGATAGGCCAGGATGACCTTAAAGGTCTTTCCGACTCCATACCAATGACTCAATGAGATCCAGGGGAAGGAGGCTCACTGGACCCTGTTCCTAGATCGAGCCGATTTCAGAGCAGCCAGTGGAAGACTTTGGTCATCTCGATGGGGGGCGGGGGGAGGGTTATTCTTCTTCCCCCAAAGGATGTGTCCACAGGCAAAGTAGTGTCACTTTCCTAATCTGCAAACGAAGCTGAGCTAGGGAGTCTCTGAGCTCTAACCCTGGATGCAGGAAGAAAGAGAGGGAGGAGGGGGAGAGGGAGAGGAGGAGAGAGTGAGAGAGAGAGGGAGGGGGAGGAGAGAGAGAGAGAAGGAGGGGGGGAGAGAGAGAGAGAGAAGGAGAGGGGGAGAGGGAGGGGGGAG